CTCACCTCAGCCCAGACCTGCTTCTCCCACACGAACCTCTGGCCCACAGACTACCGCACCTACCTACTGTGCTGGCGGGCTGGCCATTCCAACAACCGCATGGTATGGTAGAGGCTGCTGACGTGGCCGACATGCACGAGAGAGGTTGCAGGCGCATCAGGGAGGGGTTGGTTGGACTGCTGAGTTCCCTTTGGAGGATGAACAGCTGGAAAAGGAGGTGCCGCACTTTCTTGTGGTGAGTCTTTCTGGTCAAGAACCCAAAACAACCCAACTGGCAGAGGCTGGGCGAGGCTGGGTGGGGCTGGGCGTGGCTGGGTGGGGCTGGGCGAGGCTGGGTGGGGCTGGGCGTGGCTGGGTGGGGCTGGGCGTGGCTGGGTGGGGCTGGGCGTGGCTGGGTGGGGCTGGGCGTGGCTGGGCTGCTGGGCTCGCCGTGGCTGTTTTTGAGGGCGGACGAGCGGAGAGAGAGGTAACGGGAGGTGCGTTCTGAGTGAGTGAGGGGTAGTGGGCTGCCTGATGCTCATGAGAGATTAGAGGGTCACGGGTGTGGCGAGGCTGGTCTGGTCAAGGCTGCTGGATGCTTTGTGCTTGAAGGAGGAGCAAAGGCAGGATGAAGACCGTGGTGAGATGGACGTGGGCTAATGACGTGGTCACCAGTCACTAGTAGCTAGGTTGCTGGGTGCCAACACTTGCCTTCCTGAAGGACGAGCAGCAGTATTTGAGTTTTTGTTGGTTGTGACAATCTTGAGTTTTATCCTCCAGAGGCTGACTGCCGTGCTGCGGTTGGTCCATGGGAGCCTGAAAGTGGCTGTCATAGCTGTCAAATAAGGCCCGTGAGAGGTTTCCAGTCTTGAACCGCCTCAACTGTGCAAGAGGTTTCATTTTGGTGTGAGAAGATGGTGGTTGGTTCTCAAGTGGTTATTTGAGTCCCGGTTGAATGAGCGGTCTGCGGCTGAATGGTGGTGCTCCAGGCGCCCGAAACTTCGTGCGTGCCGTGGTATCACTTCGTGCGTGCCGTGGTATCACTTCGTGCGTGCCGCATGCCCTGGTCTAAGGTGGTGTTGAAATGAAATCACTTTTGAGGACTCTCATGGTTGTGTGTGAATGTCTATGCGTAAAAGACTGTGTGCGTGCGTGTGTGCGTGCGTGCGTGCGTGCGTGTGTGTGAATGGCTGTTTATGAGAGCCTATGGGCGTGGGGAGTTTTTGTGTGGCCGTCGAAGTGGAGCATTCTGATGGGGGGGGTGTGATGTCGGGGATGGTAGAGGCTACAAAGGATGCCTTAGAGCTCCGACGGAGTTTTAGATGATCCTCCAACACGCCCTGCAACGCTCCCTCCCTTCCCTCACGCCCATGCCAACATGGGGAATAGGGAGCAGGGAGGAGGGGACAAGGGGGAAGTGCGGGCGTGAGAAGGAGTGTGTGCGTGCGTGTGTGTGTGTGGAAAAGAGCACGGGGGATGGTCGCAAGAAGGGAGGTTGGCCAGCCAGGTCTGGACCAGCCCGACCAGCGCCGACCCTGGCCCGGGTCGAGCCAGAGACAGCCGAGCCAATGATGTGGACCTGGGTCAGGGGCCTGTCCAGCCCTGCCTATCCAGCAAGCGGACCTGGGTCAGGGGCCTGAGCCTGACCTGTCTGAGAGGCCGTCCCGTTCCGGTAGGAGGAGCTGCGATGAGGAGCTCTCGAGGAGCTGCGACGTCACGATATGTGAGATCTCGCTCCATAGGAAGGGGGACCGAGAGTGGAGAACATAGTGTCAAGGTTTTCTGAGGGTAAGGTATAGGACAGGAGGTGGCAGGGGGGAGAAGAGCAGAAGGGGAAGCAGTAGGAGGCGAAGGAGGGGAGGAAGGGGAAGAGAGACGAGGAGGAGAGGTGGAGGAGGAGAGGAGGTGGCAGTGGCAGCAGGAGATGCTGTGTGTGACAGCAGGGGACAACGCGGTACACCAAGAGGTCATTATGAGCTGCACAAGAACCTGGGAAGCATTGGCAACGTCGCTTTTACGGTTTGAGCAGGGGCAGTGCGTGCGTGCGAGGGAAAGGAGCATGACCTGGTGTTTGTGTTGAGTGTGACTTGTGCTTTACATGTTCCTGAAATTGCCAGTTCACATGAGCTTGAATCTGCTTCAGGAACTGAGGCATTGCGAGCATGCATACCCGGGAAAATGACCTGCAGGCCTCGTGGCCTGCAGGTTGGAACTTTGTGCGTTTCCACAGGTTCGGCGGTGGTAATTCAGATTGATGGGGTGGAGGCAGCGAAAGCAAAAGTGTGAAGGTGAGGAGCTTGAAGGGTGGTGGTCGCAGAGTACGTTCTGTGTGCATAGTGAGGTAGATGGTGCTAAAAATGCATTCCTCCTCTTGTTGAATGACGAGGCCAAATGAATGTGAGTCGTACTTAACACGTTGATAGTAGCTTGGGAGAATAGATGGAAATCAAAGGACTTTATCTATTATACAACCATTGTGTGCAATCGTATTGCACAAAACTGTAGAGAGACACAAACCTAATTGCTTAATATTGATCAGGGTTAACATGGGAGTTGGATATGCACACAGAAACTAGAAGGAATCGAAAATTTTAATGTGGTCGAACTCTAGTGCGTACCGTTCCGACGTGTTCGCGTCAGCTGGTTCGGCATTCAATTCGCGCCAAACCACCCTCGAGTCGCCTCCGCATCTTTCGCCAAACTTCCGAGCCTCTGTTACGCGAGAACCTAGCCTAGCTAAGGTTTCCCTATATCATTCCGTCATTTTCATTGTATTGTCACTCTCTTTGCAATTACACTCGAGTCTCACTGATTCCTCGCTCTCAGTTGGTTCAATATAACAAAAACTAACTGCAATCGTAAACGCACTCCTAGCGAGTATAGCGGAATTCACGCTCATGGCGAGCACAGCAGCAGATCGCAAACGACATGCAGAGCTAGCGAGTAGATTAGGGTTACGATAGACTAGGGCACTAAAGCGGTTGGTGCGCGTTGGACGAGTTGGGCAAGATGCGCGCATTCACGCGCAAGCGCCGTTGGCGGCCGCCACCACTGGTGGAGGGATGCGTGGGATGCGCGGGACGCGTTGGAGCACCGTAGGTCCCCGCGCGTGGGACGGTGGCACGGCGTGACGTGCGGTGGGTGGGCCATCCCCGCGCGCAAACACCCTTACCTGCCGATCACCGCCCCGCTCCTACCAACCACCCGTGCCTACCTCGCCACCGCGCGTATCGTCGCGCCGCTTCCCGTCTGCCCGCCGTGACACGCTCGCGCGGGCCGCCAGACGTGCTGCGCAACTCGCTATTCGCACCAGCACAGTCCGCTGAACGCACCTTTGCACATCGAATGCGCCAGTCTGAGTCACCTCGCATCGGTCCGTAGCAGCTGTAACACCTCGCTACCCACTGGGTCAAAACGAGGGTTATATTTGAGGCGCAGCGGATGCACTCATACCCTTACGTGTAAGCCCCACTGGCGTTACAGCAGCAGCGTAAGCGCGAGGGCGTGGCGTTAGGGTGTGAAGCCGATATCGCCCTCCTTGAATTGAAGTAGATAGATATAGACCGCCCTCCCCCTCACTCCCCTCCTCACGCCCTCCCCTCGCTCCCTCCTCACGCTCATGCATGCACATGTGCTCTGCACCACATCTACATGCCATGCTCTCCCTGTCCTCCCCCCCCCCCCCCCCCCCCCCCCCTTCCCCTTGCACATTAATGCATACCTTTACGCAAACCGCCTCTTTCTCTCCCTCCATCCCTTTTATCCTTCCTATTTCTTCGCCCTCCTTTCCCCCTCCTTTCTCCTTCCTTTGGGGAAATAAGGACGGGGGAAGTAGGCAGGGCGGAAGTATGGACGACGGAGGTATGGACGACGAGAGTAGGCACGGGAAGAGGAGGCACGGGAAGAGTAGGCACGGGAAGAGTAGGCACGGGAAGAATAGGCACGGGAAGAGTAGGCACGGGAAGAGTAGGCACGGGAAGAGTAGGCACGGGAAGAGTAGGCACGGGAAGAGTAGGCACAGGAAGAGTAGGCACGGGAAGAGTAGGCACGGGGAGAGTAGGGACGGGGAGGTTAGGCACGGGAAGAGTAGGCACGGGGAGAGTAGGGACGGGGAGGTTAGGCACGGGAAGAGTAGGCACGGGGAGGGTAGGGATGGGAAGATTAGGGACGGGGAGAGTAGGACGGTGAGGGGCAGTGGTGGGGGTGAGGTGCAGTGGTGGGGGTGAGGCACAATGCTACAAACGGTACGTTTGACAGGTGTTTTCCTTGGTGGAGGCTCGGATTCCACATGCCATGCTCTCTGCCTGCCTGCTATGGCACGAAGCTTCACACCCAAGCGCCTGCGCCTTCATTCCCACCCTGCATTAGATTTCACCGTCTTTTACCATCCATCTCGTCCGCTACTATAACTTTCTGCGTGCTCCCTCCCCCACCCCACCCTTGTATCCTTCCCTCGCTCTCAGTTGGGAGCATGATGTGGCCGTCTCGCTTGCGATTTTCGTCATCTGTTCGTCTTCCCAACCGTCCCGTGTGCGGCAGGCAGGTGGGGACAGGCGAGGGTCTGCTGCTGGCGTGCATTGATTGCGAGAATGGGGTGCAGAGGTGGGGGTTGAGGAGGGTGAGATGAGGGAGGATAGAGAAGAACACGAGGAACAGGGAGAAGAGCAAGGGGGGTGAAGAGGGCAACTATGTTCAGAAAGACGCGTCCTGCGTCCTGGACGCATGCGTCCGGACGCAGGACGCTGTACCTGGACCTGTAGGACGCACCAAAAGACGCAAGCCCGGGCAGGGCAAAAAAACCCCGGGCAGGCGAAAAAAAAATAGTACAGGGCTTGGGAGAGGGGGGGTTGGGGACCTACCACACTTTTCGGGCTACATTTTCCCCAACCACAAATTTGTGCCCCAAAATGTAAGTTTAAGGTGGTTCACGCGTCACACAGTTATGGTGGTCACACACACATTAAGTTCAAAATTTACGACCATGCATACTAAACTACCACTGCCAAGCATCAACTCTACCATCACACATCCCCTCCATCCCCCTCGCTCTCCTTCTCCCCCTCGTCCTTGTCCATTGCTTCCTGCTCGTTGTACTCGTCGACGCACGGGTCGTCCTCGTCCACCTCCCTCTCCCCGTCCTCAACTTGTATCCCTTGGGGAGGGGAGGGGTGGGAATGTTACCCTCCACCACCCCCGCCCTCCTGACTTCCCCACTTGGCCCTGCTCCACCAGCTGCGCCCTGGTGGTGGCCGTGCACAACCGGCCAGTTGTGCGCCACGAACACCAAGTCGCGCACCTTCTCCGACCCGAGCCTGTTCCTGCGCGCCGTGTGCACCCCATCCCACGTGGACCATCCCCGCTCGCATGGAGAGGCGGAAATGGCATGTGACACCGCACGGCGCGCTAGGCCTGCCAGTTCGGGGTACTCCCAGCCATTCACCTTCCACCACGCCGCCATGTCCCCCTTCCCCTCCTTCAGCTGCGCACGGCCCGCTTCCGCCTCCTCCGACCCGAACCCCCCCCTGCCCTAAATGTACGCCAACATCCCCTCCTGCAGCGCCAACATCGTTCCCTCCCGCTCGCCGTCCTTCTTCCAATACTTGTCGACGAAGGCCATCGAGCGCTGAAGCCATTGCTTCATCACCCGGGTGCACTCTCTGTCCTTAAGGTAGATCCCCTCCTCCTGGTTGACCGGGTTAAGAATCCGGCCTACCACGTGAAGAGGGCAGGCCAAACTCTCATCCCATCGCCTCCGCAAATGCTCCAGCAACGCCTCCTTATCCGACTCCTCAAGCTTACAATCAGCCCTCTCCAACAGCTCCGTCAGGTCCACCGTCAGCTGCAGCATCAAGTCGTACAATGCCCCCATCATCCCCTTCGCTGGCCCATCCGTCTTCCGCATCAACTTGTACGGCAGCTCCATCACCTTGACGAAGGTGTCCACCTTGCCCCACCACTCCACGTCCATCACCGCCTTCTCAAAAGTTGTTCCAGTCTGCTGCTTCCTCCCCTTCTCGGCCCAGTCCTTGTGCGTCACCATGTTCACCAGGTGCTGGCGCATCTCACGCAGCCGTGAAACCGCGATGTACTGCGTCCTAAAGCGTGTGCCCGCCGGTCGCAGCGGCTGCAGCGACTTCTTCTCGCCGTGCAGCTCGGGACACCGGAGGAAGGCACGCGTCCACGTGTGGCTGCGCAGGAACGCGATCATGTCGGTGGTTACTGACACGACCTCCTGCGCCCAATCCATGCCGCCGAAGTCCTCCAGCAGCAGGTCGAGCACGTGAGTGGCGCAGGGGACGAACTCCAAGTGTGGGTACTTCTTCTGCAGAAGCTTGCCGGCGGACACGTAGTTGCTGCCGCCGTCCGTGCAAATCGCGACGACGTGCTCCCAGTGAGGTGGAACGATGCGGTGCTGTTTGGTGCTCCCAGTGAGGTGGAACGATGCGGTGCTGTTTGGTGCTCCCAGTGAGGTGGAACGATGCGGTGCTGTTTGGTGCTCCCAGTGAGGTGGAACGATGCGGTGCTGTTTGGTGCTCCCAGTGAGGTGGAACGATGCGGTGCTGTTTGGTGCTCCCAGTGAGGTGGAACGATGCGGTGCTGTTTGGTGCTCCCAGTGAGGTGGAACGATGCGGTGCTGTTTGGTGCTCCCAGTGAGGTGGAACGATGCGGTGCTGTTTGGTGCTCCCAGTGAGGTGGAACGATGCGGTGCTGTTTGGTGCTCCCAGTGAGGTGGAACGATGCGGTGCTGTTTGGTGCTCCCAGTGAGGTGGAACGATGCGGTGCTGTTTGGTGCTCCCAGTGAGGTGGAACGATGCGGTGCTGTTTGGTGCTCCCAGTGAGGTGGAACGATGCGGTGCTGTTTGGTGCTCCCAGTGAGGTGGAACGATGCGGTGCTGTTTGGTGCTCCCAGTGAGGTGGAACGATGCGGTGCTGTTTGGTGCTCCCAGTGAGGTGGAACGATGCGGTGCTGTTTGGTGCTCCCAGTGAGGTGGAACGATGCGGTGCTGTTTGGTGCTCCCAGTGAGGTGGAACGATGCGGTGCTGTTTGGTGCTCCCAGTGAGGTGGAACGATGCGGTGCTGTTTGGTGCTCCCAGTGAGGTGGAACGATGCGGTGCTGTTTGGTGCTCCCAGTGAGGTGGAACGATGCGGTGCTGTTTGGTGCTCCCAGTGAGGTGGAACGATGCGGTGCTGTTTGGTGCTCCCAGTGAGGTGGAACGATGCGGTGCTGTTTGGTGCTCCCAGTGAGGTGGAACGATGCGGTGCTGTTTGGTGCTCCCAGTGAGGTGGAACGATGCGGTGCTGTTTGGTGCTCCCAGTGAGGTGGAACTTTGCGGTGCTGTTTGGTGCTCCCAGTGAGGTGGAACGATGCGGTGCTGTTTGGTGCTCCCAGTGAGGTGGAACGATGCGGTGCTGTTTGGTGCTCCCAGTGAGGTGGAACGATGCGGTGCTGTTTGGTGCTCCCAGTGAGGTGGAACGATGCGGTGCTGTTTGGTGCTCCCAGTGAGGTGGAACGATGCGGTGCTGTTTGGTGCTCCCAGTGAGGTGGAACGATGCGGTGCTGTTTGGTGCTCCCAGTGAGGTGGAACGATGCGGTGCTGTTTGGTGCTCCCAGTGAGGTGGAACGATGCGGTGCTGTTTGGTGCTCCCAGTGAGGTGGAACGATGCGGTGCTGTTTGGTGCTCCCAGTGAGGTGGAACGATGCGGTGCTGTTTGGTGCTCCCAGTGAGGTGGAACGATGCGGTGCTGTTTGGTGCTCCCAGTGAGGTGGAACGAACAAGTGAGTGTGTGGGTGTGTGTATGGAAGAGCGCATGTGCGTGTGGGTGGCAGGGAGACCTGCGGCGTGCCTCTGGTGGGGGCTGCCAGGAAGGCCCCCTTGAAGTGTGGCACTGTTTGGTGCTCCCAGTTATTTCTTTGGGTGTGTGTGAGGGAGTGCATTTGGGAAAGCGTGTGTATGGGAATATGTTTGGTTGTGTTGGGTGAATGTTATCCTGCCAGCCGTACAGAACTACGCCAGTGTGGCAGCCTCGCTGGCAGAGAAGCAGCAGCACCGAGTGCTGTTTGAGAAGCTTATGGACCGGATCAAGTGCATGCTGCCATGGTTGAGGTGAGAATATGAGGACTCGCTAAATGCGCCTAGGGGTGTATCTGATTTGGCTGCTGTTTGAAGGGCTCATGGATCGGATCAAGCACATGCTGCTGCCAGCAGATATGGATAATGTGAGCTGTGAGCTGTGGGTTAGGAGCTGGGGGCTGGGGGCTCTGGGAATCTTTGCATTGCCTTGAGAGAAGCAGCAGCTCCAAGTGCTGTTCAAGGGGCTTATGGGTCGGATCAAGTACATGCTGCCGCCCGCTGACATGGATGAGGTGAGAGTGCGGTTACCATGATGTTATTGCCCCCATCACTGCACGGAACATGTGAACATTGGCCGCCGCTGTTTGAGGGGCTCATGGATCGAATCAAATACTTTCTGCTGCCCACTGACATGGATGAGGTGAGAAACGCAATGTCAAATTAGTTGACGTGTAAACTCTTTCTAAAAGCAAACTCGTTAGCACGTCGCGCCATTTGAAATCTGCGTGGTTTGCAGTAGCAAGTGCATGCTGCGGCCTGCTGACTGGCATTGATGAGGTGCGGCTGAATCATAAGTAGTACTGTTCTCTTTTGAGACGTCAAATGGGTAATACTACTCTTTCCCGAGGATGGATGGAAACACGTATGGACATCATTTGCATGTTTAGTTTGCGTGTGTTTCCGAACCTCACTGCCGAACCTCACTTCCCAAGCCCAAGTGTGTTAGCGTTGGTAAGTGCATGTGTTTTAAGAGTGTGTTAGCATTGGTAAATGCGTCTGTTTCAAGTATATCTTTTGGTCCTGTGATTGAGTCAGCTGATCTGTGAATTTCCTGAAGGAGATTGACCAAACCTTTCACATGCTGTCAGACGAGCATAGTAAGTCGGTCAATTTTATCAAGTCTTTTAGTCCTCTGCTTATGCCGTCCGACGAGCACAAGTGCGTGTGCTTAGGTTTTATATTTCAGCGTTGTCAATGGGTCGGTTGATCTGTGAAGCTTCCCAAGGGGCAGATTGACCAACATATCCACATGCTGCCAGACGAGCACAAGTGATTATTTTAGCTTAAGCCAATTTTTAGTCCATGCACAGTTCTTTTAACAGTCTGGTAACCATGCTTGCATGCTCACCCCTTCTTCCCCCCTGTCCGTGCCTCTCTCATTCCTCCCCACCTTCCAGGAAGGTTCTTTTCAATGTGGCAGCACTGGTGGCGGCAGCAGCACCGGTGGGGGTGGGTTTGGATCGGCGTACCCGCTACAGAGTCGCATCGACAATGTGATTTTCATTATGCACAAGGCTCGGAACGCACAAGGTCCGGGAGCAAGCACTGCCGGGAGTGGCTGGCGGCTCGGAGCGTTGTGATTGACGATGTGGAGCCGCACTTACAGGCGAACTTGCCCCCTCACACTCACGCATGGCCTCACATGCCCTGCGCTAGTTCCTGTAGTAGCCTTGCGGCTGTAGTCCGTCATGCAGTTGTAGAAATTGATGTATTCTGCTTACCGTATCTGTTGCGAGTGGCTGGGTTCTTTGAGCATTGTGATTGATCATGCACACGTTCTCACTTGTTCCCTCAAACTCCCTCACACGCAGCATTTTGAACACAATCAAATTGTTCACTTGTGCTTCCAATCTCATCCATCCATAATCTCTGGCCAAGTGCAGTTTTACATCCAATCCATAATTAATCCACCGGTACATAGGGCTTATTTGCATCTGATCTGTAACAGAAGGCGATGGATGGAGTGAAGTGGCCACTGTCTTCCACTTACCGTACCGCACCTCACACAACCACTTGATAAACCAATCACTGGAACCCACAAAAGCCTGTCAGCACCAGCCCTACAGTTTGGGCCCAAACTTCTTCTCAAACAGCTTGTCTGAACAGTGGACAAACTGGCGCAAACACACCTTCTTTCGCACCTCCAAGTTATTGTGAACTGTAGCAGCTCTCCCCTCTGGGAGTTCACTACCACCATCCTCCCCCTGGCACAGCTGCTCTTGCCTGTCACCCATTCTTTCGCTAATCCTTTCTCCAGCTCCCCATTCGATCCCGAGTGAGGAAACAGAACCCGGCTTGCTCCTCTGTTCCCCAGCTTCAATCAAAACAGCCCTCTGTCGAAAACTTGTCCGACGAACCATCTCGTGTGCCACAATCTCATAGCCCGTTTGCACCAGTGCCACATGCCGCGGTCTGATTCGTCGATTCAAACTCAATGTAAGAAAGGCAGGGTAGGCAAGAACCTCCAATATAGAGAGCCCCATGTCCCGTTTTAAGTACTCCACCTTGGGCTTCAGGTTCGTTTTCCAGTTGCAGTGGATAGACTGTGGGTACCTCACCACCAAATCCACCACCAGCTCACGGGCCCTCCATCTCTTGTCACCTTTAGCTGAGTTAGATGATCGAAGCTCCTTCGTTCCTTCCAAGGAACTACTACGCTCGCCTATCACCAGTCTTTGCATTCCACTCCCCTCTTCCCCACTGCTCTCCAATGCCTCTTCCACTTCTCGCACAAGCTCTCTAAAACTTTCCCTCAAGACAACGTGTTTGAATAAGTGTTTTGAGACGTCTCAAAACACTTCTTCAAACAGCTCTCTAAAGCTTTCCCTCAAGACAACTTTGCTGGATGCTATCAGCAAAGGAAATCGTGCCACCACCCGCACAGCGTTCTCTCTGCCAATCAAATCGACCAATACAGCCACCTTGCCTTGCACGTTTTCCTTCGATAGATTCAGAACTGTCGGGTACCTCCTCACTATTCTACCCGCTGCTTTCTCCCCCCCGAGCTCCACAAAGAACTGGAGCTTAGCTAAAAGATTTTTTTTGTTGAGACTGAGGATAGTGGGGGCACGCCGAAGCACAGAGGCTGCAATGGAGGGGGTGTCTGTGGAAGCGAAGGGCTGGAGGATGGCAATAATTTCTGAAATGCGATAGTGAGAAATAGAGAGGATGGATGGATGATTCAAGATAAGCCTGCTCAAAGCGCGATGCTGCTCATCTTGTTGCTGCTTCAGGGAGCCTGTGTTGGTGCTACCTGCTTCTACCTTATTTCCACATCCCGCCTTCAGGTAGGCTAATAGCATCTCAAGCTGAATATTCACCACCTCTTCTCTCCGAGTCAAGATGGAAGGACATCCGTCTATAATCACACCCAGCTTGTCCACAGGAACCCCTGCCCGCTCCACCAGAATGTCCAGGTTCGTTGAACGTGCCTCCCAGTGAAGTAAGTTGCGCCCACGTCGGAGCACCGAGCCCAATCTACTTCGGCGGACGCCTTGAGCCAAAAGAAACTCAAGTGTATTCTGAATCGGTGACAGGGAGCTTCGGAGCCAGGCTGGCCCTTTCATTGTAATGTGGGCTATGTCAGCATGAGATATGCCAAAGGACTGGAGGAGACGGACACGTGGCAGGAAGTCGTTGGTGGGACTGGAGCGGAGGAGTTGGGGCTTAGAGGCGAGGAGGGAGGCGACAGTAGAAGGGGAGGAGATGCCGAGGTGGGAGGAGAAGAAGCGGTAGAGGGAGAGGAGGGAGGAGGGAGAGGTTTCACGTGTGGGACGAGTTGTCATGCTTGGTATGCCCTCCTCACTCGCTTCTGCTTCTGCTTCCTCATCCTGCACTTCTGTGTCCACTCCATCTTCCTCCTCGACCGCCGCCGTCGCTGCCGTTGCCGTTGTTGCATCCAATGCTTTCCCTCCTTCCACCTCCCCCCATCCCTCAATCCTTCCGTTCCAAAGTCCCTCCTCCTCCTCATTAACAATCTGAGGTCCGTATTTCTTCATCAGCACTTGAGCAATCACTGTCACTGCCTCCTGCTCCTCCTCTGATGCTTCTCCCGCTCTGCTCTTACTCTCGCTTCCTTCGCTTCTTGTCTTCGCTTTGCCTGCTCTCCTCCCACGCCTCTTACCCCCAACTTCCTCAACAATTTTAATGGTCTCCTCCCCTTCTCTATCAGCTCCCACCTCATCCTCCCCCGCACCTAGCGCCTCAAACTCCGTCTCAACGGTCGAATTCTCATGGGCCGTCGGCTGTAATCTAGGATTTGCGACCGCCGCCTCCGGAGAGTCCGATGGCATTAAAGTGTTTTCTGCACTGCATCTAATCGCAGCGCTCCGGTCAGAGGTTCGAACCCTGACGAAGGCTTTCCGTACAGAGTGGTTCAAAGAGAGGAATCCGAGCTGGTACGGGCTTGACCATGACGGAAAAGCAGATCAGAATGGATTCACGTGGTGCTTATAAAGAGATCGAGAAAGACGAACACAGGTATGCGTGTAGTCTAAGCTGCTCATCGACATAACTGACGGGAATGACGAAACTACACACGCCATGGCGAGAAGCTGAGGAACCGAACTTACGATCAATGTCAATCGCTCGCGGCTATCACATCCGTCGTATCCAAACGCACTCGATGAAACGACCTGCGACGATTCCCAGACTTATGACTCAGGGCTCTAGTAAGGAAGACGAAGGCCGTGACATCGTTTAGATGGAGACACATCGCAGAGTGTTCGGGTTATTACCATTGGGTTGGGCGTGTCAGCTGTGTTGACACGCTGACGGAATTCAAAGGTATTTTGATTCGCGGTTTTGGTAACACGGTGTTACATTGAGTGAGATGCAAGCTGCGTTCACATTCAACACTAGACGCCAAAAACGAAGTGTTCAGATCAGACACATCCATTGAGACAACGACGAATCGTGTGCGTCCTTTGTGAACCGAATCGACTTCTCTTTTGACACGAGTTCGCCCAACCTGTGTTTAGATAAGCCCCCAACATTCGACGTTCCACCCTCGCATACCTTCCCTACCCATCACTTAGAAAGCACCTGTGCAGCAAGCATCGAGTCGCGCAATTTATAAACCGATGTCCTGAGATGAGTCCGCATAGCCTTAGAGTTTCGATTTATTTCACAAATTCGCACCGCCGCAATGTCGCCACGACCGACAGTTCAATGGACCATGGACCTATTGCGTGCGATGCAGTCGTTGCGAGGTTAGGTTTTGTGATGTCGAGGTTAGC